TATATATGTTATATATATATATATATATATATATATATATGTTCTGTATGCATGCATGTATGATATATATGGTATGTAGGTTCTGTATGCAGTGTACATATGATATGTGTGGTATGTAGGTTCTGTATGCATGTACATATGATGTGTGATGTTGTATGTGCATATATATATGATATGTATGGTATGTAGGTTCTGTATGCATGGCCATATATGTGTGGCATGTTAGTTCTGTATGCATGTACATATGATGTGTGATGTAGTATGTAGGTTTTGTATGCATATATATATATGATATGTGTGGTATGTAGGTTCTGTATGCATATATATATAATATGTGTGGTGTTTAAGTTCTGTATGCATGACCATATATGTGTGGTGTGTAAGTTCTGTATGCATGCAAATATGATTTGTATGGTATGTGGGTTCTGTATGCAGTGTACATATGATGTGTGATGTAGTATGTAGGTCCTGTATGCAGCGTACATATGATGTTTGATGTAGGTCCTGTATGCAGTGTACATATGATGTGTGATGTAGTATGTAGGTCCTGTATGCAGTGTACATATGATGTGATGTAGTATGTAGGTCCTGTATGCAGTGTACATATGATGTGTGATGTAGTATGTAGGTCCTGTATGCAGTGTACATATGATGTGTGATGTAGTATGTAGGTCCTGTATGCAGTGTACATATGATGTGTGATGTAGTATGTAGGTCCTGTATGCAGTGTACATATGATAATTATGTGTGATGTAGTATGTAGGTTCTGTATGCATATATATATGACATGTGAGGAAAATAGGTTCTGTATGCATGACCATATGAAATATGTGGTGTGTAAGGTCTGTGTGTAAAGTGTGGATAGTATGGTAAAGTATGTATGGTATGGTCAATTATATATGGGAAAATATACATAGAAAAGTAAGGGTGTTATGTATAGTGTTTGTATTGTATGCCTGGTTTGGATACAATGTATATTTTTGTACATGTATGTTTGTACAAGTGAGTGTGTGTTTGGAACATGTTTGTATGTATGTGTGTGTAGAACATGTATGGTTGCATGTATGGAAGATTCGATTATGTATTGTATGCATGTATGGTTGAGTGTGCCAATCCTGTATGTATGGTGGGTATGTGTATGTATGGTATGGGTGATTGATTGATTGATTGATTGATTGAGTTGGGTTTAACACCACTTTAAACAGTATTCCAGTCAATCATGGCGTGTCAGCTTAATGTGGGAGGAAAGCCCGAAGTGATGCTGGTCCCAGACATTTACCACTTTGGTGAATCCCACAAGCACGGGTATGGTGCTGACAAACCTAGAAACACAATCGTGGCTAACTGGGATTCGAACCCACAATCATAGGTTTCTGGCGTGCCCGAGAGACACAACTCTGCACAGCAAATCGCGGCGCCTTAGATGACTGAGCCACCCGTGACCCCTGTAATGGTATGCCTAGCTTTGTCTGAGATATGGGTATGTCAGACTTTATGACATGGGACATATTTTATAAATGGGACATATTTCTTTGAGTATCATGATAGATTTATACTTGTCCTGAGATTTCAATTAACATTTTATTAATTATTTCAGTGTTGTACTTTAATGAAAACTGCTGTCTCAGGCACTGGGTGATACCCACCCACTGCCATGAATCTACATACTGAATAGCATATGACATCTGAATCAACAATTTGTCTTCTTCTTCTTCTTCTGTTGACCAGGGTAAAAATGTAGAACCATGCATTATGGCTTTGATATCAATATCAATATGCATTATTAATTAGCTGTTAACAAATCAACAAGTATATAACCTTAACAGTTGACATGACTGGGATAAATGACAGGTTGGCAAAGGCATTTTCTTTTTCACTGACAGAAACAAAAATATTCTGTAAATGCTGTTTTACGACATTGACAATGACCTTTGGCAACCAACCTAAATACTTGTTAATCTTATAATAAGACCATTTTATTGTGTTCAGTCTCCTTCAAGCAGTCTTCACTGGTGCTATGACGTGATCCTTCAAGTTGAAATGGGCTCATTGTTAGTTAACAGATGTAAGTCTATCAGAGCCCGATAAGGACAAAAAGGTTTGTGCTGAAGGAGTTCAAAGCACAGGCACACTATTCTGATGGTAAGAGCACACTTTTTCTCAGCTTCCTATGTCTCTTAGTCATATTTTCACCTCAAAAGTAATTTGCTGTTTATTGTCTGGCCTTTTGGAAGATGATGACACCCTCAGCTTCCCAGAACATGGAGGCCATAACCTTTCCAACTAATAGGACAGTCTTTGATTTCTTTGGTCATGGTGAAGTGAATTACTTCCAGTTTTGACTATTATTTTGACTCATAGTAACAAATTGTTGTAAGAACCTTTCTGGATCAGCTTCAAACAGGGCTAGATTATCATGAGATTTCTTGTGCCAGGTGAGGTGTTTTTTTTATCAGATTTCAGAATCGTTTAAACCCAACAAGCTTATACTTTTTTCATTGCCAAAGTTTCTGTGATAATGGAATGTATTCCCCCCTGAGAAATAGCTACTGAAGTAGCAACAATACACTCAGTTATTCGCGAGTCGGTCATCACCATATTGTTTATTCCCTTGATCATTTCTGGTGTTGCCGACGTCACAGGCCTTCCAGAATACTGTTGTCTTCAAGGCTCTCCCTACCACCTTAAACTCCGTTGCCCACCTTTCACAGCGGCATAGGAAGGGGCATAAATCCCATGTTGTAGACACATCTTCGTGGATGGCTTTAGGTGTTAAGCTCTTTTTCTTAAATAGTTGATCACTGCATGTTCCTCAAGTATGTCGATTTTCCAAAGGTCACAGTATCCTGTTATTTTATTCATTTTTCACTGCAAAGGGATTTGCTCAATTAACCCATGTTTTTGTGGATATACCTCTATGACATCATGTAATGTCAACAACAAAGGTTTCACTATTACACAACTCCTTCTATGTGAGCCTCAGAACAATCAATCATTGTACAGTGGCCTGTACTTTGTCTGATTACATGCAGGCTGTGTTATGATACATGTATCCTTTTCAGCTATTATATATCATAACTGTCATGTATAGTGTGTGAAATAGTCTCAAAATATTGCTGGCCAGGTGGGTTATCTAGCCTTAAAAGTTATAAGCCAGTTTCAAATTTCAATAGCATAGTTGGTTAAAACAATAAAACCACTCAATCAAGATAAAAATGATAACTCTAATCTTGCAACATCAATTTGTTATGGATATTAAAAATATTGTAAAACATATTTGATTGTCGTATTGATCTACAGAAACGGGAGAACGTTTGTATATTTTTTATCAACTAAGATAATTGTGTGCATAAAACCATCACCATTAAAATCAGTAAACAGTCCCAGTCAGGCTTCATCTTCCTGAGGCAAGAGCGTTAACGGACTATAAAAGACCAGTTTCCACCTTTGCCGAACTAGGCTGGAATTTCTCACATATTTTGGCTCCCCTAACGAGTTAAATGTGTAGTCCCATCAAAATTGCGTAACGGAATCAACATCTGGTTTGTAAAGAACATGGCAACTGCTATGCAGCTTTAGGTCTATTGCATGACTTACAAAGCATGTGTACCATCAGCTGGGCATGGACAGATATTTTCAAAGCCTTTTCATGTTTTATCAACTTGCTCAAGTGATTTGACACAAGTGAGGTAAGCCCTGTTTAATTACAAAATAGATCTAGATTCTTGATCAGATCATCTTGACTGGGTGCCATTTTGTTTAAAGCAAATGCAGGTCATAGAGGTGTGGAATTTGATTTCCTCCGGTCAATATGAGGGGCATAGAAGGGACATAACTTGTAATAACCACTGGTGGCACAACGATCAAACCATGCAATTCCAGCTTAATTTAGCAAGAGTGGAAACTGGAAACTGGGAGTCAGTTAACTGCCTTGCCTCGTGAAGATTGTTGTGCTTGGGACATTTCAAAACCTTTAGCCCGACCAAAATTTGTAGCCTTTATATTGAGGTTAGTATAAAGGGTATCTGTGATTTGTTGCAAGGTGAACCAGATGTGATGATTTCAAATACAAATCCCAATCTTCAGGAGGAATAGTGACGGTCACAATATTCATTTTACTAGGCTGGTAGAATACGCACTTAAATATTAAAGACAGTGATAAAACAGACAACAATTTCAGTTAAAACACAGTTTATTTTTCATGAAGGTATTTATTGATGTTTAGAGACGTGTGACACATTAGAAAACAAACACAGTAGTTATGAAAATGGTTTGGGGAAAATGCCCAATGATGCAAGCTATACATTTAGCTGATAAGGCCACTCTCTGGTAGAACTGTGGAACAAATTCCTATTTTAGTTAACAAGATGTCCAGTTAAAGCTTCCACTAAAGCTGATCGTCTGGCCTGTTTACCAGGACATGTCCAGGCTCATCTCACTCATGCAAGCAAGGAGACAACATGGCTATATCATGAACACTTTTATTGAAGTGTTATGGATTGAGACGTGAAGAAAAAGCTGGCTATCAGTTTCCATGTATAAGCATTATGTATACCACACAAATAAAGGTAGTAGAAAGTAATAAAACATATCTTTGGAAGTGAGAGAATCACAGGATAGAGCTAACATACGCTTGGCTCCATCATTATTGGTCTGTAGGACATGTGTCAAAAATCAAATTTTTTACTCTGATAAGATAAGTCTCTGGGCACATCTCTGCAGGAGGTGAACTTTCTAATCAGCCTATCAGCTTTCAGCTTCTGAATTTGTGGTACATTTGAGCGAAGCATTTAGACCAGCATATCTGATTTCTGTTCATCAAGAAGGAAGTTAAATGGGGAGCTCCAAATGCAAACATAAATAAAGCTGTGGATATATAATACATCATGTCACTCCCAAATGTCATGTCTTTTACACCCAAAAGGCCAAAAGGGTGTACTATCAAGTGAACATTTGTTGGGGTTTCTTTGGAACACCTAATTATTTTTTAAAGCTGACTGGCTGAAGAACCCATACATTCTTCATTTAGATTGGACATTCAAAGTTAGCTTAGTGTTCACCTAAGATGACCCTCCATGAAGGTATCTCATCATTGTAAACGATCTGATTTTAATGAGACTGCTATCTGTCCACCTGTCCCTCAATACAATGTCTGTATAGTTTCACCACTTCTGCATAGGACACATAGTAGATAAATAAATTTCTGAAACAACGAAAGGAGTGAATGGATGTTCATACTTTACGTCATGGTACTCGTATGAGGTATTGTATCATATAAAAAGATACACAGTCGAAGTGGCAAATCAAGGGACTGAGCTGAAGGTACCGTATCTATTTCTCCCGACATCGGTGTTTCCAACTTTCTGATCACATACTACACGTCAAATATCAGACTTATACACAGCAACAAAGTTAAATTACAACATGAGGAAAAGATACATAATAATTGTACCTGATTAAAAACAACTTCAATGATTTATTCATCAGAAAAATAAATAAATTTGGTAAAACAACAAATGGTGGCCATCATATTTGAAATTATTTTTCTAGTTCACACCATTTTCCAAAATGCTATTCTATTAATGAGTTGTTTTCACTTTTAGTCTGGATGAGGAAAGATTGCTGATACCAATCATTGTCAGGGAGGTACATATGCAGTCCCTGAAATACAATAGTCAATTTAGCTGTCACATCCAGGAACAGGGCGATTGTATTATTTCCTTTCTACTGTAGTTAATTTATAAAACTGCCTACATAAAAAGACTCACGGATGTTCTTCTTACATTTTTTTTCAACTAACACATTTCTAGTTGCCCATTTTTAAATGATGATAAATAAAGGACATAGTCAGGGTCAAACAAAGATCTATTGATCTGTTTTTTGGTTTGTTTACTACTTCACAAGATTCATCTGTAGACACATGGGACAAAGAATAACTCTAAATATAAAATTTCTCAAAGGGAGGACAAATGTTTTTGAGGAGTTAAATAAATAAATAAATAAAGTCAGTAAGTTTTGTGTTTTCGTGTTTCATACCCTGCTTTGTTATCTTGATATCCTAGTATATCACTTTATTGTATTTAAAAGGCGACTAACAGGATCGGGTGGTCAGGCTCGCTGACTTGGTTGATGCACGTCATCGATCCCAATTGCGTGGATCGATGCTCATGATATTAATAACTGGATTGTCTGGTCCAGACTCGATTGTTTACAGACCGCCGTCATATAGCTGGAATATTGCTGAGTGCGGCGTTAAACAACAAAGCAACCAACCAACTATATTGTATCAGAGAGTATTGTTACAATCACAATCACCAGCAAATTCCCTGGAATCCCGGGCTTCATATACACAAGGATTGTGTATAATGAAAAAATGCTTTCTTCCTCAAAGAAGAGATTCAAAGAGTACATGTTGAATCTTCATATTTTTAAAGAAAATGTTGTGTAAACCTTTTATGAAAGATATTTAGCATGAAATTTCTTAGATCTAATATGATAATAAAAACCAGATATCTCTATCACTCTAAGCATTGCGAAGCCCCAAAGATATCCACATAATACAGTGTCTTATATAATGGAATGCCATCAGTTCACACAGACAAACAACTGTACCCATCATTCAGTCATGCAGTTCAAATGGCATGACAGTCATGACAAGTCACACATACAAAACCTGGCAACAAATAAGTAACTAATTTCAGGTTTCTTCCATTGACACACTTTTTCAAGCTTTTCTATCAATCCAATCTACCCAATCTATCACAAGGAACAGCTGTCTTGATGAAACAGTCATCTTCATTCTGTATAATCATTTTGTACCCAATACACTACAACAGAGTTTGTTAACATTGTTACCTGTCGCAACCACTGTAGAAGCAATGAAAAAGATTGGTAATATATATTTAATTTAATTTATATATATTATAAATTCATTGACAGAATGTAAGTAAGACAATGATGAATAAGATATATAACATATACTTGGTTAGAGTAGTTAAATGCATCAAAACAGGATAATACCATATAGCCTTAAGTAGTAGATAACAACATAAATAACAACTATCATTTGAGCCTACAAGTATCTTAGAGAGAAAAATATTTTACTGGTAAATACATCTTCAAATGCTAATAAAAATAATGCTTCGCCTGTTTATTTACATTTTAAGTAATGAAATCATGACACCTTTTGACTTAGATGAGACAAAAATACAAAGTACACTGGCTATACATGTCTATTCTTGAGGTTTATGTCAAGAGAAGTATATTCATGTAAAAAGCTGTTGATGTCAGTTAAATTCCCATTTTTCCTTCATAAAAGCAGCTTTTTCCAAGAGCATCACACATACTCATTTAAGTTTGGAATCGCAGCCTTCTGGAACCTGTCAGGAACCTTCATGAATAATTCAAGAACCATGAGTTTGCTGCAGTTTAAGCACATATCCAAAGCTGGTTGCTCTCGGGTATTTCGTTTAAACAAATCAGAGACAGAGTGCAGTACCACAGCTAGTGTTCCAAGAGCACATAGCCACTTTCGAAATGTGACCCTTGCCAACTGTCAGCAAGTACCAACAAATCACACGATGAGTATACAGCTCTACAATGACAATCTAGACCGCTGATGTAGTGTGTCACACCTACAGGACAAATGGTTCACATGGCTACCAAAAGGAACTGTCGCAAAAGATCACAGTCAACAGCCAGAAATAGTTTCTCTAATTTAGTGTATGGGTAGTTGAAAGGTTTCATTAATCTCATTTTGCATGCAAATTTATTTGATCATGTTTTTGAAAAGTATGTTTTCTAGTTTCATGTCTCTTTCCCAGTAAACTCTGTCTCGTAAAGGACAATATTACAAGTTGAATTCCTTGAAAAATATTGTTGATAATGCATAATTCCGGTACCAATGTGTTGCACAGAACCTTTACGATTGGTTTGAATGTGTGTACACCAACTATAGAGTTCACTTATTATGCTGCATTGGTATCGCTAATCTATGGTTGTTTTCATCTACCAGTATCAAGGTGACAAAACAGTGAACAGTCATTTGATCATCAGAATAAGTAGTTCCATTCTCTGCAATTCTTACAATTTGCCATGAAATGTTTATGTAGGACTTTCAAACTAAAACTGAGTAGAAGACAGGAGCTTTCTTATTATTTCTTAATAAAGCAGTTGAATGAGAATGTTTGAGACAATCCATAAGACCTTTCACAAAGCCATATCTGTGTACTAAAATGAAAGTTGACACTCTGAGATAGAAAAATAGTATTGGCATTTGCATCTCCATTGTTAAGGAATGATAACATACAAATGTACAGAAAATAGTCAAAATATCTAAATAGAAATGTCTGTGACAGAAACTACCAAAGAAGTATTAAAAGATAATTTGTCATCTATCTTATGAAAAGTATTGTTTTTGTATGAATACTCACAGAACAAACACATGCTTTAAAGAACATGTGAAAGGGTATTAAAAATTCTAATAAATATCAATGATTCAACCATTGGACTATTTGTTATGCAAATATTTTCAAAGAACCTTTAGATATTGAAGAAAACATACTGTTTAAAAATTGTCAGCCAAAGACTAAACACATGTTTTTCAAAAATCAACTATTACATTTTGAAGTAAAATATCAGTTGGCATAATGTACAATGTCCTGACCTAGTGCACTACCTACTAAATGCTCTTTGTCCTGTACACAGGATTTCTAAATGTGACTTAGCTAACTTGCTTAGCATCAACTAAACAACTATCTGCCTGGTTACATTCTCATAAAAAATGTTAACATTTATAGAACCTTTTTGAATCTCACATGAAAATATATCATGGAAAAGAGCTGTATCAACAATCATATATCACATAAAAAAGTATATCATAAAAAAATAGAGCCACAAGGCTCTGTAGCTCAACGGTTAATGTTAGATGAAATGAACACCATTTACATTGACAAACTTCAAGCAAGGGTAGAAAAAAGGTACAACTTAACATAAACTATACCACATATATAAAGGAGATTGGGGTGTGGGATCACAAGGACTAGGGGAATTTTCCTCGGCAATTATAACAATTCATTCTGCATATATGTCACCATATTTCAACTTTTTTTGCAATAAAGGGAAAAAAACAAACAAAATCCAACATCAAGTATTTCCTTTTTTGTTGATGGATGATTATGTTGAACACAGATTGAAAGCACTCTTTAGTGATGCTCAAGAAATATGTCAAATTAAAAACGTACACCTAAAAAGATGAAAAGGGTTTCAGATTTGAATTCAACTGTCAAAGATACTGAAATCAGATCAAATTTTTGAGCGCATCTTGATGAAACCATTGGTGGGATATCCAGTGTAAGGTTGAGCAGCGTATTACCAATGGTACAAAGGAATGTTGAAAGTGTAAACTTTTTTGACGAACGACTCTCCATAACGAGCACACTTGGACTTTGTACCAGGTGAGCTGATAAATCCATACACACACATTTCAGTGCAGTGAACAAAATAAAGAAATAAAAATAAATATTATCAAACGTTGCCTGCTGATACAATCAACAGTTCTAGGGCCAGCCACCTGTGCAACATAACTAGTAAAACAGACCAGCTTTTTAGAATGGTCATTACTGATTTAGTAGTATTTATCTCTGAAAAAAATTATACAACATGAGCGATATTTTAAAATAACAAACAATGTACACATCTTTGGAAAAAAACAAAAAATATGTACCTTTTGAAGTCTGTTTCAAAATACTTTATCCTGATGGCACTAAACTGGGAAAGTAATATCCTGATGAATTGTAAACACCATTTGCTACTTTGAAAGATAAATGTGCAACATTTGCATTATTATTGAGCACATATTATGCAAACCGTTCAGGTTCTCAAGACATTTTCCTGTAGAAGGCAGGGGTAGAATCGAATGCATCTCTCTGTAAACTAACACCCACACAGTCTTAATAAATATGTAGATCTTTCCTTTGCAGTATTTTTTACTAACACACCTGTATTAATATACACACCCTATACTGATAATGTTGTAAGCTTACAGTTTTTTTAACAGTAGTACACACCACTGGGTAAAATGTATTTGAGCTCAGGTTAACTGTCTTGAGTAGCATCGGATATTGTTGAATCAATCTCCTGAAATAAAGGGGAGAGAATACCTGAAGTTTTTCAGTTGCCAGCCACTACAAATTCTACATACATGGCATTTTGACTGTGTGAAAACCTATTTGAGTATTCAGGGACTATTTTGTTATGGCATAAGTAAAGAACTAAGAACTGAGCAAAGGAATATAATAAACGCATGACATGCAGAGTATTTAGCTGTTGCATTGATGAAACTACAGGGTAAGAACCCAACACAAGAGAGCTTCAGAAAGATCTGATCTGAGAGTCAATCTACTGTTTACCATTGGGTGATAAAGCAGTGGTGGAGGGGTGCTTGTAATGACTTTGTGTTGAGTTCCATCCGAACGCAAACATCTGAGTAGAAATTGGTAGTAAACTAATATAAAGCCATTTGTAATATTTACCAGGACCCCATTCCACAAAGTGTATGTTGTGCTACAACGGTCGTAAGTCTATGTTAAAGTATGGGAGTTACGATCGTCTTAGCACTGTGATGACTTTGTGAAACAGGACCCAGTATGTTTTGAAATAATCATTAACATCAATTCTTTTAATGAAAAAATATGTTAGTGCCACTCAACAGTGAAATACAGTTGTGCGTGGTGAGTGACTGGACCTTGTATAAGGTCTGACTAGAGTCTAAGGAATAAATACCACCTTCAATCGAGAACCTGCCCTGTGTGAGATACAGCTTTTAGGCCAAAAATACCATGAAATACACATGAAATTGGAATGATGATTTAGGTACAACAAAATCAAAAAACCAAAATAGTCGGGGGTTGTTGGGCACCAAGAGATTGAAAATGGTGTTCATACATTCCGTTTTGTTTCTAAATAAGAAAGAAAATAAAAACTACTAGATCCATCAGTACTGCATACATATATGTAAACAATAAACAAAGCAAAGCAGCTGAAGCAAAAAAGCAATTGAAAAAAAATGCAAGTGGACAAAGTATCACACACTAGCTTCAAGTGGTTCAACATGTGCAGCTAGAACTGAAACCTACATTTTGTACATAGTTGTACATGGGGACAGAAAACTACAAATCTTTCGTTAGTCATAATAAGTTTAGAAGGATCTGATACCTGTATATTTTTCTTAGACAAAGTATTGGCATGGCTAAATGACTATTATCCTGTATCCTTATTAAAAAAAAAATGTGAAAGGTTGGTTAATAAGATTAACAATGCTTCCCTGTAGAATTGCCTCCAAGGATATGTATACCTACCAAGAAATAATGTCTCAGATCATTATCAGTGTTCTAAATTGAGGATTAAAGTCAAAGGGTCCTTGTCATAACACTAGGGTTGAATGTTGGCGATCGAAGGGGAGATTCAGATTCAGGTACTATAGAAGCCAACCTTAAGGACCTCCTTAATTCTGGACACTGATTATTACTTACTTCACTTCCTGCTGGAAATTTGTAGAAACCAGCCAAGCACTTGGTACATGAATATCAGGAGTAAGATGGGAGAGGTAGTGTCCTGTGCTTACTAGGTTAGGTTTCACAATCATAAACTAGAGCTACTGTAGAAAGCATACCAGCAAATTTATAAATTACCCCTAATGCTTGTTTTGTCTACACAGAATTCCAAATTTCCAGTATATTTGATTACTTTGATCATTATCTTACAATTTCAGCTGTGATATACACCCCTCTTATCTTTGACCCAAATAATTTTAAACATTACACATTCAACCCAACCATGTAAATGAAAAAATAAAAAATGAAAAACACAAAGAATATTCAAACAAAAGTAAAATATGGCACAAATATAACCAATTAACGAAATGTAAAAAAATCCCCAAAACAAACAAAAGCACTGTTTTTCAGAATTATTTACCTTCAAAATTGTTGAATAAATCCACCATACATTTGTAATTTAAGGCAGAACAATTATTAAAAGCAATAATTATACTCCACTTACAAAAATAAAATGAACATTGAATACATTCAACAAACATTCAACACCAAAACTCCTGTAATCTGTGAGCAGTATTGTACAGTATCTCAGACCTAAATCTTTAATATAATGCTGTTTACATAAGAAGTTCATAAATAAAGTCATCTGATCTTTTGATCTCTATGCACCCATAACTACAATTATGAGTTGCCAAATACCTGATTATAAATCTTTGTGATATAAATTCACCATTCCATGACAAAAAATGTCTCCTTTCAATTTCATGTTGACCACTACCACTGATAAAAGATATTGCAGCCGAGACAATCAGTGCCCTGACTAGCATAAGACCCCTGCTAGAGTCTCGTGTTTGATATTGTGACGCTATCGCTGTGTATAAACAAAACGTTACAAAGAGACCACATCCATCTCTGCCCTTCTGCCTGTAGCCATTCCAGAGGAAGGAATGTTGTATCAGGTCTGGTGTAAGGCCAGACCGTCATATAGCCAGGACGGCCCCCATCAGGGTCACTCACTTTCCTCTGGAATAGACCCACAGCCACCTACAATTGTGACCATCGCTACCACCCTTCTCAGCTATCATGCTGTTAATGTCCCTTGCATTGTGTCCAGATCTTACGGAATGACTGGTAACTCATGATTTTTAAAGTTTCAGCTCTACAAACATGTCGTCTTCTTGACGATGGCTGTGAAAATCATGAGTTTCCAAATGGCTTTTAAGATTGATGAAACTAATTCATTTCTGCGATTTAACATCTGGGCTCAAACCATTTTGTTGCTCATGATTCCCGTGTATGATCTGGTCCACAATGTATATCCTGTTCAAGGCAACAGGTGATAGGCAGAGAGAGGTGTGTGGACAAATTGCAAACAAAATATCATCAAGTGAAGCATGCAGATCTTGGGTCAAACTTAAAAAGGTGTATTGCTGATTAGATAAAAACATGTATAAGCAGATTTGTTGATTCCGCTGGAGTATGGAGTTAGTAGAATCACTCCAACAGTCGATAGACTCACGAACACATGGAGGGGGAAGGGTATACCCATCAATCAAACTTTGCCTTAGGTGGCGTCCCATTGTTCTCCACATGTCCGTTGCCTTGTACCAGCTCATGATATGTCTTGAACAATTTTGCATACTCAGGTTTTTCTTCTGCATAGGCTTTGAATTCATCTGCAAGTAATGTAACCATCATAGCAAATTAATACAGTTACATCTCACTGCCCGATCATGTCTTTCGTCACTGTCTGAAACGTACAGGTTTTGTATAAACTATAATCACTCGTGACTATATAAGACAGCTTTGTGTGTAATAATGATGTTTGTCTCTTTTAGTCAACTAATGAAATGGGTCTGTTTACAAGTAACAGATGTCAAATCAACCCTACACTATGCATTTTTGTTTGTTAACCCCACACTCAGCAATATTCCAGCTATATGACAGCGGTCTGTAAATAATCGAGTCTGGACCAGACAATCCACTGATTAATATAATGAGTATTGATCCACGCAATTGGGATCGATGACATGCATCAACCAAGTGATCCCGTTAGTCGCCTCCTACGACAAGCATAGTCGCCTTTTACGGCAAGCATGGGTTGCTGAAGACCTATTCTACCCCGGATCTTCACTGGTCTACATCATGCATGATCATTGTGTGAGCCCTACACTTGTCTGATACTAAAATAATGACCATTGATACGTAATAAACAACATAGCTATTGCACTGCAAATCGAACATGTGTTTACGGTTGATGGATACTGTGTATACAAACCTGTAACCTGGGAATATTTGACTAACAAAATGCAATAAGGTGTGTGGCTGATTTACAAATCTATTAAGTCACCTCCCATGAAAACATAAGTTGCTGGGACATGTGCAGTACATTGTCGTGGTGAAAAGTACAGTAACTAATGTTTATCATTTCATGCATTTACATAAGAAATTTGACATAAAAGATGTGAATACATATGGATTTTTATTAACAGAAAGATGTGTTAAAATAAGAGTCACTGGATCTTTAGTTCCTATGACCATGACTGAATTTTAAAATGGTGTTGGGAAAAATGGGTTTTTCAGATTAAAAACGATGTTTCATTGGTCTGTTTTCAGTCGTACAAATGGGTATCTCTCATACCCTCACGTGTAGTCGCACGTTTAAAGGAAGCCAGAAGCTGGAATGTAAACATAAAACTTGTTTCCGTCCGGTTGCGCACGCACCTCCGTATGTCATGTCACAAATCTCGAAGAATAAGCCATCAAGCAGGACTGGACTGGATTACTCCCAGTGGGGATGGCTGGGTGGGAACGTACGACTGAAAACAGACCAATAAAACATCGTTTTTAATCTGAAAAACTCATGTTTTAGTCTGTTTGGGTAGAATTCAACTGACCACTGGAAGGAGGGTCGGGAAAGTAATCAGGAAGTGACCTCTTTCACGTCGAATGTACCAAGTTCCTCACCCCTGTAGTGACAATAGAACATTCGACCAGATGCACGGACGTGACAAGTTGTTTATCACGAACGCACAGCATGGTTAATGCTCTTCGACACACAACTAATTATCGATGCGACTGGACAACTGCACGCGTCAGTTGAACTGTGATCAAAGTGTGGTCGACGTATAGTTTAGTTACAGAGCAACTCACAGTATACAAGGTAACTAAAACAGCATGGTTAATGCTCTTCAACACACAACTAATTATCAATGCGACAGGACACTGCACACGTCAGTTGAACTGCGATCGAAGAGTGGTCGGCGCATAATTTAATTACAGAGCAACTCGCAGTATACAAGGTAACTAAAAAATACGAGCAGTACTATAAAGTATGGGAAGACGATGCATACACCGAATAACCATAATAAAAAAGCCGAAGTACTGCACGCCACAAAAACCATAAGAATGTGTACATTCACCAACAGTTTTTATTGTAACCTGTTATCTGGCACGAAGTGTCGAGCAAAAGTCCAAAGTGAAAAAAGCACAAATTCACTGTCTTTTCTGTGAGATCTGTTGTGCCACCACGAGTGGACCAAACTGTTTGAGTCCTTCAACATCTTCTGTTGAGATATCTCTGAGTTAATGCGAAGCAAACACTGAAGTAGATCTCCACAAGCAGCCCTCCATAATAGCTTGCAGCGAACAATTACTGTGGAGTGCTAATGTTGAAGCTATGGCTCGAATTTCGTGCGGATGAGAGGAGGTGGGAGGTGCGAGTCCTTGCGCCTCGTAAGCTCTGAGAATGACCGCTCTCAACCAAAAGGAGAGAGTATTACGTGTAATTTCTTTCTTTGCATTGGTTGAGAGCGGTATGAACAGCCGTCGAAAATGTTGTCGTCGCTGTTCAGATCACTGCAGGTAAATACGAAGCGTACGAACTGGGCACAGGGTGAGATCAGCGTGATCATGAGGGCCCATAATGGCAGACAAGGAAGGAATGTGGAACATTCTCGAATCTTGGCCAGGAAGTTGATTTTTCGCTAAAAAATCCCATCTGAGACCAAGATGGACGTTGCCATGGTTACGCTGATCGAACGTAATCTGACCGACGTCAATGGCATGTATTTCCGTATTTCAGTGGACGAAGTTGAAGACGATGTCGGCGAGTCAGATCTTGGGCCGATGTCAACAGACCGAGGTCTTCCTGCCACATGTTGCACCGACGCCGGGGCATGTAGAAGTCTCGGAACGCTGCTGACAATCTTGTCCCAAGGAACCTTGACCAGACTGACCCCAGCCTGGAAGCGTATCTGTACTGTAGATCCCGAGTTGGTACCAAGTCCGACTTTTGAAGGTTGACGATGCACCCGAGGTACCGTAGCAGACTCCTTGAAGGACGAAGCCTGTCGTCTAGGTAGAAGGCCACCCTGATTGCCTGCCGATGGAGACATTCTACGACCGTCTTCATGATCCGTGTGAAAATGCACGGGGCCGTAAAAATTCCAAACGAGAGGGCCGCCCACTGGTTATGAATACCTTGGTATACAAATCGGAGGTACTTTTGGAACTCGGAAGCTATTGGTACATGGAGATACGCGTCCTGAAGGTCTATTGAGACGAGGAAGTCATTCGGTAATATCATCTGACGCAGAGAGCTGAGGGATATCATGGTGAATGTGTCAAGTTGTTGGAGGTATGTTGCGTTGAACTTTTTGAGATTGAAAATAAGCCGCATCTTTGTGGAGTTTTTCTTGGGTACTAGAAAAATGGGCGAGTAGTACCCCGGCAATGATGCCGATGTCCCTAGGCGAAGTACTGCCGCCTTTACCACCAACGAATCAATGGCCTCCGTCAGCCGATCCGTTGGTGGAGAGTGGAATGTCAGGGATGACGTCAGTGGTGGCGTCGATCTCAGGCGTTGGGCGTAGCCTGTTGTCAAAATGTTCTGAACGTAAGGGTTGTTGAGGAAAGCCCACCTGTGGGCATAGTGATGAAGTCTCCCCCCTACCGATAGCTCGTCTAAAGGTAGTGTCACAGGGGGAGACTGCAACGACGGTGACGGCAGGGGAAGGGTCTTCACTTCTTCCCCCGCTGGCTCTTTCTCCCTCTTGGATACTTGGAAAAGGAGACCTGGCGACCTTTCCTGTCCGAATCAGTCTTGAGGGACGAGCCGTCGAGGCATGTCCCTACGTCAACGTGGGGCGTTCGAAACCGCTGGCTGTCTGGACAGGTTGTGTGAAGCCGAAATGATGATGTCACGCAAGGATGTCCGAGAGGCTGTTGTCACAATCTATCGCCCACGTCGTTTGTGTAAGCGTAGATGAAGGAGATGTTGTTCTGGTTGACGGTCCATGGACCCCCGACGTAGTCGAATCCTTCTTCGTCGACGCCGTCGAGGTGAGTACCGCCACCATCATCTGGGCTATCAAGGCCACGTCGATATGAAAGTGAGACGAGGGTGTCGTTCTGTCATTATCTCTACGACGCTGATCTCCCAGAAACTCCCTGTGAGAACGTCGCATGTCCTCGTGGGGACGAGGGCTACAATCTCTAACTGTAGAAGTACTACGATCCCCATCGTAGTTATCTTCCGAATCGTACTCCCGACGACCACGAAGGCGATGAACGTCCTCGTGTCGTTTACTGTCTCTCTACAAGGCACTCAACCTGTTGTCCTGTCTGAGTTCACTGTCATCCCGCACGACGTCCCTATCGTCGTTGCTAGAACGAGATACGGACCGACTGGGGACCATAGTCCCCTCATGGGCCTCGTCACCACCCGGTCCCGTCGTAACTGGGGAGGCTGAGTGACGCTCTCGATTAACCGATAGACGAAGATCAGTCGTGCTGAACACAAACAATGGATTACCAAGGATTACATTCCAGGAGTCTACAGGTAAGACATATTTATTATTATCATTACTTTATTAGAACAACAACTGTAGACAAGCGATAAGTACTAGTAGAATACAAACTAGCAGTCTACCGCGAAAGACTTTCTCGAGCTACCAGCTCAGAGGCGCGCTGAGAGATTTGTGACATGTCATAAGGAGGTGCGTGCGCAACTGGATGGAAACAAGTTTAATGTTTACATTCCAGCTTCTGGCTTCCTTTAAACGTGCGACTAGACGTGAGGGTATGAGAGATACCCATTTGTACGACTGAAAACAGACTAAAACAGATATTTTATTTAGAAACCTGCATGAAGGACAGGGGCCAAATATTATCAAACTATCTGATCAAAAGCTGATATTTGCAATGAAACAAAACATTTCTTTGTGTAGAAAATATTACATATACACAGACAGCTATGTTACTGCACACTAGATACAAACCAAATGTCATCATACTATCTACATATAAGGAGGACCAATGACTAAAAATAGATCTCAATACAGTTGTCATGGAAACCAAACCATTTTGAAATAATCAAAGCCAAGCATTATGTTAATTACTTTTTTGGTTTCAGAGAATAAGTTCTTTAGAAATATCATTATTAATTACGAATTTTCCATTTCCATTTCCCAAGCCTTCAAAGAAATAAAAAATGTTATGCCTTTAATATTTGAACAGAGCTTTAACTACCTATTTATAAAAAAATTCAGTTTTCTAGGGTCATGTGATTTCTGAGAAAACGTTCGTTAAACATTTATTTAAAATATCATCTTTGTGCACAAAACCTAAAGCCATTCTGTAAACAAAATCTCAAATGTGAAACAATTATAGACGACAGGTCACAGCATTATTAATCACAGAATCTATAAGTAAGATGGGCTAAACATAATCCTCTGAACAGACTATTACCTACCAAATGAAATCTTGTCATCATTGTCACAGTCCACTTTGTCAAACAGCACCTGCACATCCTGTGTGTTCATCTTAAAGGCATTACACAGGATCTGCGTGAACCCCTCTCTGCTGATGTGGCCCTGATTTTCTGTGTCAAATAACTGAAAGTACACAAGAATTGCCTCCCTTTAACTGAAAGTACACAAGAGTTGCCTCCCTTTTACTATTAATTTCCTTATTATCTGGACTAAAGTAATACCTCATGTAATTGCATAATCTAAAAGAACAATCAAATGCAAGATAAAATAAGGACAAAAGTAAATACACAAAACATTGGATTTGGATTAAATGTGGGTGCTGCGGCAATTACTATTTTTGATTGATTTTTTGACACAATTGATGGGATCATCATTATGATCACTTCAAACACCAGTCTCTGTCAAATACTTTTGAGTCTACAAGCCAAAACTTTTATTTGGGCATAAATAGATCAATAGATAAATTTTCAGTAGAGTTTAGTTTTAACATATATGCTAAAATAAGCTGATCTTATTAGGCCAGAAATTATTTACGAGTCTCGGGCTTTGGCATGGTGACTAAGTTGACAGACTGAAGTTTAGCATTAAGATTTATTCTTGCATGAAAAACAAAACAAAACAAACAGATAACCATTATTTACCTGGAATGCAAACTGTACTGTGTCATTTGAGTTTGCCGGTCCAGACACCAATGATAAACCTATCACATACTCCCTGAAATCTATTGTGCCAGAATTATCCTGTAGAAAGAAAAAACCCACTTAGTATCATATAGTTTACCACAGGCAATATATGCAAGTTATGCACATACAACACAATACCTGTTGAACCATGGACAGTAAAACAAATTGTGTTGCTATTCATTTGCACCAGAAGCAGGCATATTGCTGAAATAATGCTGAGTGTGGCACTAACAATGCTAACAACTAACATGAGTGAGTGAATATGGTTTTACGCTGCTTTTGGCAATATTCCAGCAATATCACGGCTGGGGACACGAGAAAAGGACTCAACATACATTGTACCCATGTGGGGCATTGAACCTGGGTCTTTGGCGTGATGAGTGAATGTCTTAATCACTGGGCTACCCCACCGCTCCAACATTCCATTCACAAGTCGTTTCTCTTGTGCTTATGTTAGCTTGATCACTGTCTGGAAAATCAGTGGCTGATGGCATGAGCAACATTCCATGCTGTCAGGTTCGATGACAACCAAACAAGGATACCCATGGTAACCACTGATCCCAATATTAATCATCTCTTATAACACCCATGAGGTGTTGGGGACCTAATCTTAACCATAATACCTACAGTGTAACCAAAGCAGTAAGATTTTGTAAAGCAGAGCTTTTGTTGAAAATCCCTGGACACCCATCCCAATATTAATCAGCTCTTGCAGCAACCATGAGGTACTACTGGGGATCTATTCTTCCCCATAACCCCTACAGTGTCATTGTATAGCAGAACCCTTGTTGAAACACTAGCCACAAGAAATAACCTGTGCATAATACGACCAACCCCCTTTCATACCCCCTCCTCGTGGCATAAAAAAACTCACATAATAGATGGCGATATTCAGTTTATATTCTTACCCGGTCATACAAAGCAAATACTTCCTCTAAAGCTTGGGACTTGGGCAGGTGTAAATAGCTGGCAAATTCCTCCAAGTTGATCTGACCGGATTTTGCTATTTTGCAAAACTTCTCTAAATATCCCTGCATCTGCTTAGAATTAACTCTGCAAAAGATAACATCCATTCATGAGAAGACAAAGGATATCACAACTTTTCTGAATGCAAGGGCATAAACATATGAGAATTCAAACAGAGCTAAAACCCATTTATACGTTTAAACAGAAAATCTCTAATCTGCATGACAATCAACAACATGGTCAAACAGTGTTCTCAAACAAATGTTATAGCAGTCAATATGTTTTGACTTCCTACATATAAACCTGTTTTTTAATGAAAAACCTCTCCATTATTGCAATTGAAATGCCACATTAGCAACACAATAACAGCCAGATAAGCTAACAAATAATACCCATTGCTTCAAAAGGAAATGAGTCAATATAGTCTGAAATGAATATGTTTACTGAAAAGAAATTTTGAGGAAGGTACAAACCCTAGTTTCTGATGAAGTTTCTGAAATTCTACTAATCCAGCCTCCATAGGCAATTTCAGTCTAGCTGCTCTAACCATCAAACGACAATCGTCATATGTGTGGTCTGTTACAGGACAATTGAGATGTCTGAAAACAGAAAAATTTGAAAATTAAAACAAAAATGAAACATATATTTTTTTTAATTAAAATAACAAAACCCACATTCATTACAATGAATTCCTATTTTGGGGGGATGAATATGACTACACATGTACATGCATATGTAAAACCTCCTCTATTGTTTATTAATATTATCCCTGTCAACCCTTGAAATAATGAATAACACATGAAGATATTATCACAGGAACAGAGGATGCAATTGTCTGTGCCTTTATTTTATCTTGTAGCTACTATTAGCAGAGCAGAACAACTGACAAAAGGATACAGAGAAAAAATGGGCTTATTCCTCGAAAACAGACCTCTTCTTCTCACACCTGCTACCCCAAAGTAAATATACCATAAAATACATATACAATACAGAATACAAGGAACCCAAGGCTTCTAGTGAACCTCACGTCTCAAAAGAAACTGGAACTAATATCACGTGGATAGCTCAGTAATCGTACAAGTTTTAGATGGCAAGAAAATACGGCTGAAAATATATCTTTACACACACAACGTAATGGAGATTTTTCAGATTTCAACTGAAGATACTTACTTGGCCATGACAGCTCGAACATTGTGGGCAAAGAGGCGGGCATCATTCTTTTCTTCTTCACTGGGATTATATACAGGGAGGAACTGAAACAAATGCAGCAATATTCGGGGCTTAACCTCGAGTTCAACATTGTCACTTTTTAGTGATGTGCATGCATGTGTGGCTGGTTATACTTGTCAGGATTTGTGCCAGTTTTATAGTGCTAGCCAACTGATATACCACACTGTAGCTTAACATGGATACTGATGCCTTTTATGTCGAGTGCCAGGCAGGGTAACAACAAATACCACCTTTAACATCTTTTGGTTAAGCTAGGGATTGAACAACCAACCCTCTGCTCTCCAGGTAAACGCTATATCCACTACACCACTGAGGCGATTTATACCACATCATTCAGTCCATTGCTCACAAAACATATTTTTAGTTATTTTTTTAGTAGTTGAGAGTGAATGAGTGTATTGGAATAACATTCCAGCATTATCACTGACAGCATGAGCACCAACCAACGTCTGACATCATGGTACAACATACATGCTCAGGCAGATCAAACATTGCACAGACTTTCAGATGACTCAACAAGCATGGAGTACTTTCTGGACCCCAAATGGGAGGGACTGGCTTAGTACAAGTTTAGATGAAAGACTTTTATTGATAATCATATAATAGATGAAAGTGACAAAATCTAACAATTCCTGAAAATGGAGCCAGAGATGTTTAGTGTATTCTTTCACTTTGTTGACAATGTGCATTAAGAAAATACAAATTTGTACAGGAGGCAAAGTATCCCGGTAAGCCAAAGTATTAGCCAATGTCAATAGGCATAGTATTCTTAATGACTGAGCTCCTGTTTAATCTAAAGTGTGTACACAGTGTGTGCATGGGTGCGCGTGTGTTCCAGAAATGCCTGGAATTTCATTAAATCTAAATAAATGAATTAGAAAATCATTTTGCCTGACAGTTCTCTTAATATAATTGGCCAACTTGACATATTTTTCACAAATTCTAATTTAGTTTAGGCATAAACATATCTTGAATGAACAATGATGTTATTACCAATATCATGCATCATCTTACATACTAACCTCTATTTCTACCTGGTTGTTAAACTGACAGAAGGTATACCATAGACAAGCAAATCTGAAACAATCAAGAGCAAGAGAACATGATATCAAACATCAACATTTCAACAAATATCACTACAACCAGTTCAATAGTGAGTGAGTGATTTGGGTTAACTTTTCTTTGAACAGTATATCGCTGATATGTCTGATAAATATGGGATGAAAGCCCAAAGTAATTTGAGCTCTTTACCTTTTCAGAGCAACCCACAAGCACCAGTATGGTGCTGACAAAACAAGAAACAAAACCAGCACAAATTTGGTCTGAATGCATGTTCAAAGATTTCTGGCAGACCAAAGGGAAGCAACTCAAATGTGACCTGGCCATTGACACTCCCTTTTGGGGTAGGGTGTTTCAGTTTTTCATGCTTACAAACAGTTAGGTGGAGCTGACAAGTTCACACTGATGTCACAGTAACTAAAAATAAAAAAAATACATTATTTCCGGAACTCCAACAAATTTGAGTACTCACGCTTTTGGACCATCCCATGTCCATGTAAATGTATCCTGGAGAAAAAGAGAAATATTTCAATAACAAGGTATAATAAGATTTGTTTCAAGAAAAAAATGATCATTACATCAATTTGACATTATATAAAAATAACCATGACCTGACAATTGTACACCAATTATTAACTCATTGGCAGTCTAATTCACAGCTGTTAGTTCACACAAAATATCTGTTCAATAGCAGGTGTCACTAAACACACAGTTGAGTGACCTGCTTACTACCCCAGGAGGTAGATCGGGTCACTGGCTGTGGTGACGTTGGGGCTCTGTCCCATCACCTAACACAAACAATCTAAACAAATAGCAGTATTTGATGAGAGGGTCATAAACCAACACACTTACCAGTTTGTTGAAGTAGCGTAAACATACAGGCTGAACTGGGACCCCAGGGTAAAATGCACCTAAAATACATTAAAAAAATGTTTGAAACAAAAAATTAATAGTTCATTCTAAAGAGGTTGAAAATAATATTTTTTGTACTAATTCCTATTACATGAGATAGATATGGTTAGAAATGTCAAGCATTTTACAAGTACAGATTAGTTCAAGGACTGTTTAACATGTTTAAGGGCTTTCTTCTCTGAACCAATCAAAAATTGTTGAATGGTCAAGCACGAGAATAAAATTAGCTGATTTTAATAAAGACTTTTATTTTTATTATTTGCTTCATGAATGTTAGGCCTATAATATTTAATGTTGGTCCCCCAAAAAATATTATATAAAAACAACCAAGTCAAAGAACCACTGTATCCATTTAGTCACCTCCTACAAAAAGGATAGGTTGCTGGGGACAAATTCTAACCCAGAATCCACAAGGGATGACTGTAATGTGACAAGCAATTGACGTCACATCCAATGTCATGATATCTGCACAAGCTACCCTGCCTGTACAAGCCAGTAAATGAGGTTTACTAAGATTATAATCAACCGCTTATATGGCCAGATTTAACAATCATAAGCCTTATGAATTTTCACAAGCATCAGTGAAACAGGACAGGATTGGCACACAGACATTTACCTGGTGTTGGTGGATATAGCCTAAGATTCAGGGTAAACATCCAAATTGTGACAATATTGCCCTGTTACTACATATCTAAATTCCTATGAGCAAACATACAAGTTCTAAGATGATCTACTTACATTGCAAGTTCTTAAAACGTAATCTAAGCTTAGCCTGTCATACAAAACCCACAACTACACTGCTTGAGGATGTGCCTTATGTGACATTACATGGCCATATATATAGAGACAAAAGAAAGTCAAGATTTTAAATTTATTTTAATTACATGGTACATAGTACCCCCCAATTTATTTATTCATTTCAGTTGGGTGCTACATTTCCACAGGTGTGTTCAGGCACAACTGTTTTCACATACATGGTCAGGATAAGTGTGGGACTGTGAGATACAGTCGGACAACATGCATATAACATATTGTACAGAAAAAATATTCATATTTCTTGACATATGGACAAGGTATTATACTGCTTGAGGATGTGCCTAATGTCACGTTACACGGCCACATAATGAAGTAGGGTGACTATTGGTCTGGAAATCACTATTGCGATAACTATTCATATTGAAAGAAACTATTGTGATAACTATTGATATTGCAAGCAACTATTGCGATAAATATCGATAGTTTTCAGTGTATCATTTTCGATTGATTTTAGAGTTGAATTAAACCTTGGAACTGAATTTTCCTTTGACTGTGATAACCATATGACTTCCAAACACTCGATTTTCCACCCAAGTTTGTCACAAACTCCACGTGACTGTCACCGTCCGGCATTTTACTTTAAGAAAGACCGGTTGATATGGTAAATACAATCGAAACTATAGATATTCCCAACTGAAATCGATACTATTGATCGGAAACTGATTTAACAATCAATTTATTGACTTTAAGTGCTTACCAATAGCAATATATCAGATTTCGATTTATTATGACACCCCTATAATTAAGACAAAAGAAAGACACAACTTGAGCTTCCCAGTTTGCCACTCATTCAAACATACATAGGGCCCCAGGGCAAATCAAATCCTGGTCCCTTTAAAATGTCCAGAAGAATGACAGCCTGCCAGTATTCTGCCCAGTTGGTAGTTGATACTTGCAACATGTGCATAACATGTATAGGTTCTACATAATTTTTAATGCATGAATTTTCTGTTGATCAATTTGTGGAATGTGAAGATTGTCTTTATCATGTTTTATTATCCACTTTCAGACTCCGACTTGGGCACCAGTCCAAAGCCCAAGTCTAGTAACATTCAGTCTAGTAAGCTTAACTAATAATATAAGTTGTAGCGGTATCACAAGGATACAGGTTTTATACCATGAGCCAGAGGTAAGCAGATTTTGGAGGAATGTCAGCTAGTGCCACATTTGGTATAATGGTTGGGACAATAAAACGGGGTACGCATAAAACCACATGTACCCCTCGTGATACTGCAGCAATGAATTTATGTTACCGACATGTCTTAATCTGCCATTGTAAAAGAATTAAAACAAATTAAAAGTTGATAGAAAACAGCTGTCCGATTGAACTGAGGTTAACTTGTGGTATGTCATGTGACTTTCATTGACTCGGAAAAAGTGTGCAGCCTTTTGCTTCGAAAGGGGGAATAAGGGATATATTCTAGTGCTCAGAAATCCATGTTCAGCCGTTTACTTCATGGCGGGGTAAAAGGGACTTATTCTCACCCTCAGAAATTAATTTCCCTACCAGGCAGGATACATAGTATTTTATCAACATCACATGAACTAATCAGATTTCATAATTTTGACATGGAGGTATGATAACTGACCATATAACAACACAAGTATTTGGCACAAACTGCACTTATCATCACATGGTATGTCATATGCTAGCTGAGTAATTTTTGAAGACCAGTTCGTTCTACCACAGAACATTTTGTCTTTTGTCATGTTTGTTCTTTATGCCACAGTCATCACTATTCTAGCTATATGTCAGTCGCCTGAAAATAATACCAGACCAGACAATCCACTGTCCAGCAATTGATATTATGAGCAACGATCCACGCTGCAGTGGTATGAAAACATGCACTCATCCCAAGTCAACTATCCTGACCACTTGCTCCACATATTCGCCTTTCACAATTCTGACCAAAAATGACATTTGAACAATAAGTTGATTGTTGGATGATTTGTTGTTTAACGCCGCACTCAGCAATATTACAGCGGTGTGTAAATAATCAAGTCTGGACTTGACAATCCAGTGATAAATATCATGAGCATCGATCCACGCAATTGGGATCGATGACATGCATCAACCAAGTCAGCTAGCCTGACCACTCTATCCCGTTAGTCGCCTTTTACGACAAGCATAGTCACCCTTTACGGCAAGCATGGGTTGCTGAAGACCTATTCTACCCCTGATCTTCATGGGTCGAACAATAAGTAGTGTTTTGGAAGACCCTGGTGTGAACAATAAGTAGTGTTTGGGAAGACCCTGGTGTGAACAATAAGTAGTGTTTGGGAAGACCCTGGTGTGAACAATAAGTAGTGTTTTAGAAGACCCTGGTGTGAACAATAAGTAGTGTTTGGGAAGACCCTGGTGTGAACAATAAGTAGTGTTTGGGAAGACCCTGGTGTGAACAATAAGTAGTGTTTGGGAAGACCCTGATGTGAACAATAAGTAGTGTTTGGGAAGACCCTGGTGTGAACAATAAGTAGTGTTTGGGAAGACCCTGGTGTGAACAATAAGTAGTGTTTGGGAAGACCCTGGTGTCTGTTTCATAAGATATCAGGATATAACCTCATCAGGTCATGTTTCACTTTTCAACAAAACAAATGTCACTTTCACTTCATTGATAGCCTTCAATCAACCTCATTGTAAGGCACCTGTTCTCACCTGGTTTAAATGTGATGAGACAAGACCTGTTGGTGCAGGTGCCCTCAGGAAAGATAAGGACTTGAGGCCATGCTCCCCCGGACTGTCCCCTCTCCCGTATCTGCTGGATGGTAACAGCGCGAGAGTTGGGATCCTCTCGTCGCACAAATACAGGCTGTGTGAACTGAATTAATGCTGACAAAAATAGCATAGAATAAGATTAATTCCTGAGATAATGCACATGACAAGTACAGTTGATTCACAAATTCAAATATCATTTCTGGTTAATAAACATAGCAATATATCTTGACAATAAAAGAAATAGACTCTAATGTTGGTAAGCATTATAAACAACCAGGATTTCTGTCTAGACCTCAATGATTTGTGTTGATATGACACTACAGACACCATAGCTAATCAGTTAATGTTGCATCATGAAAGCTTATTCATTATCTTGGGACATGTTGTTGTTATGTGTAAACAGAATTGGAATGAAAACTCAGAAATGCAAACTAAGAACCACGACCACTCATCATTTCACACATTCTTCAACTTCAAAATAGGAAGCACTTCACAAAGTTAATATGAGTCAGGAGGCTGCAAATCTCCCATGTATCATAGAGTCCACTTGGTCCATCGTATTGTTCTACCTTGACTTAAAGGCCCATGGGCTGAGTTTATTTCATAGATCTCTGCCTTAATTTCAAGTTTACAATTCCTGTCTCAGATATTAATGGAAGTGTGTACTGCCACAATGACGCCTTCCTAATAAATTCTGACTGATTTATCTGATGCATGGATGCTTTTTATTTCCGTCACTCAAGTTGCTGATTTCCTGTTGACAAGGAACTAATATCAATGCCTGCATATTTTGCACATACTTTCCCAGGTTAGAAAAACTAATGATAATTTTATTATTGATCTAACAACATCTTCACTACAAACATTTTCAATTCAATCAATCCAATATGACACATGGTATGGCAAGATTGGACATTAACATAAGTCAATAGTCCAAGACAAGTAAAATTCAGGAAGTGTAACTAACATTTCCCTAGGACAACCACTTTTACCAGTTTACCAGTTTGTGGCCTTAACCACTAGTCCGAAGCCTGAGTCTGGTAAATCATCCTTTGGTCAAGCAAGCCATTTCAAAATCCATAAATCAACACTTAGGTCTACCGGAAAAGAATGTCAAGTGACATGACTCAAAAGTTACAGGTTAGTTACCTCAGGAGCCTTTTCAGGCAACTTAGCAGGCATAACCCAACATTAAGGTCATATGAAAGAGATCCATTTGGACTGATTCTTGTCAGTGAAGCTGATAGGTTAGTGGGAATGGACATTCTTCAGTATTCTGATGTCATTCAATGTTAAAATCAAATTTCATAACCAATATCAATGAAGACAAAGTATAAATAGTCCATATTAAAGCATAGATATACAGATAAGGATGGACATTTTTGGCATGATTAGATCAGTCACAAGTTTGGACCTTATGTAATTTAATGAGGATCATTGTAGATCCTGAAGAAATAACCTGAACACTGAAGACTGGCATCATCAAGTGAGTTGGGAAACAAGGGCAAAATTTGACACAACATGACAGCGTGTAAATACTACCTGAAAGGATTATCACATTTATTCACACAATAGTCACTAATATTATATCATATCACATACTCATATCACTTAAGTGAACTGAAAAATTGGCAATGACAACTAGGTGCTTCTCAGCCATTGTGGCACTAAAGCCTTTTTACAATATACTTGGTATACATGCTTCTTTTTGAAAAAAATATCTGTTTAAAGTTTTCTCTCCTTAAAAGAATTGTTAGAAGGAGGGGGAAATGGAATGAAAAGAATGATACTTGGGGTGGTTTTCAGAATCACCAGAAATGGAACTACTTGCTTTCCCAGACAGAGCTTTTTTTATTACTGAAATTTGTCAGAATAAAAAAAAAAGAAGACTGTTCTTACGCTTTTAACTTTATTCCACATGTGGAAACCTTAAGGGTTGGCAGATCCGTAAATCAAGAAGAAAAAAAATGGTTAATGACATCCCTGGATTGACACCATGATTTACTTGGCATCGGCACTGCCATAAACTATTGATACCATTTTTTCCAACTCTTTGTACGGCTGTTGGTATATGCCAGAAGAACTGAAGCTTGGGAATGGTAACAGATGTTCTTTAAGTGTATTGTACTGAAAGGTCATTGATTTCATTCACCATACATCTTCCGACAGCAATCAATGAGTCAAAGGTGAAATTTGTAAATCCATTCAAGTGAGTTCTACAGCACACATGGAAAAGGCAAACACAGTGATCACACAGCGACACACAAGCAACTACAGCAACAATCAAGCATATCAAACATCAACAACAGTGGAAAGGCTGTTGCATTTTCCCCTATCAACTTTCCCATTGGTTTAGCATGATATTCCTCAATATCAAATCATGTCTTCTACACGAAGCAATGAAATTCACAAAATCAGTACTGAAATTCAAATAAATCAATTCCCATATTGAGATCAAAATTATTTAAGGCCTTTCATTATTGATACAAGCTAATGATGGGAGATATGACTGGGAAAATGCAGTGCCTGTTAATACCTACTTCCCAAAAAGGGTAGTGAGCTGCTTTCTATCTTTGCAACAGGACTTTTTAGTTCTTGCCCCAGAAAACATACAATGGTATCAAAAAATGTTGAGTGGGGTGCAGCACAAAGGACAGGTGCGTCCTGGGCACTAGCAGGTTTCCCTCTGAACTTGATTTTGTGAAATCCTGCTATAAAGATTACACACCTCCCAAGCCACAGGAGAAGTCCACTGAAAGCCCTATCAAAGGAACAAAACATGCAGTTACTAGCTGCAGCATGACTGCTGGTGCTCCAAACATGCTATGAGGAGGAGGGGCTGGAGGTGGAAGAGGAGGGAATGGGGGATGGGGTATGTGGGGTGGAGGGGAAGAAATGGAGGAAGAGGAGAAAGAGGGAGATGTGGAGGGAAACAGGGATAGATTTGCCTGTGAAGCTTATGGGAAAGTGTGTGCCATCAGATTGCTTTCACTAAGCATTTCATACTCAAATAAAAGAAATGAGTGCCTTGGCACTGTAGCTCACCCAGATTTGTAGATGATACTGTTAGTTCTTTGAAATCCTATGTTTGATATTTTTATCAGCTGGCACACAGGCTAAGGATCAAAAGGACATGCAAGGTCATTTCAACTTTTCTGGTTTGATTATGAAGATAAGCAATAATATATGTAATGCAAAATTATTTAAGGATACCGACTACATCATGCACCCTGACAAACCAAGATGTCATGTTAAATATAATAGGTAAAGTCTAGCTTTCCAAAACAATAATTATTATTATTCATGGAAAACAAATTTTTCTGACTTATTTGACAACTACAAACATGATAAAAATCAAAAACTAACAGGGAACTTTATAGACAATCAGATAAGGGACAGGCTTTTGCTTTTGAGAAACAAATTCAATGGGTCACTGCTATACCAATGTCAGTATGTGTTGCTAGATGTAGTGTACACAAAGACATGTACATGTGGTTGTATGTAGATATGTTGCCATAACAGAAACAGCCTTTCTAATGTGCTTGGTTTGTATACAAGAGGTTGTGTGCGTTTGTTCATGTATAATATTGCCTGTCACGCCTCAGTAACAACTTCCTTGGCTGAACCCCAAGCAATGGTTCAGATTGTTATTAGTCCAAAGATCAACAGGTTCAGAACCTGGTACTAGTCTTATACAAACATAACCACAATATCCATTAGAAAGGTGTTAATAGAAAAGTTAGAAATCATTAAATTTCGGATGGTAAAAAATTATCATTTGAGTAGTTGTGATTAAGATGGCACTCTACCAATGGCTAACCATGTCCTGCTTGACTATCTTAGCATCAGACAGTTCATGATAAAACATAAACATCATTTCTGATGGCATACAAAATTGCATTAAAGGCATAATGTGATACTTGGAGTGTGATGAGACAAAGGTCACATTTTACACATAATGTGACACTGGGCGTGTGATGACACAAAGGTCACATTAAGCACATGTAATAGTGTGAGTGTGATGACACAAAGGTCACATTTTACACATAATGTGACACTGGGCGTGTGATGACACAAAGGTCACATTTTACACATAATGTGACACTGGGCATGTGATGACACAAAGGTCACATTAAGCACATGTAATAGTGTGAGTGTGATGACACAAAGGTCACATTTTACACATAATGTGACACTGGGCGAGTGTTGACACAAAGGTCACATTTAACACATAATGTGACACCTGGAGTGTGATGACACAAAGGTCACATTAAGCATGTCATACTGTGAGGGTGATGGCACAGAGGTCACATTAAGGACATGTCATACTGGAAGAATGATGACACAAAAGTCACATTTTACACATAATGTGACACTGGGCATGTGATGACACAAAGGTCACATTAAGCACATGTAATAGTGTGAGTGTGATGACACAAAGGTCACATTTTACACATAATGTGACACTGGGCGTGTGTTGACACAAAGGTCACATTTAACACATAATGTGACACCTGGAGTGTGATGACACAAAGGTCACATTAACCCTTTCGCCCCGACTGCCCGATTTATCGGGCAGGATAAACCGTGTCCCAGGACCCGGCTGCCCGAAAAATCGGGCAGCATAAGCCGTGTCCCAGAACCCGGCTGCCCGATAAATCGGGCGGCGCGAGCGTGTTTACAAAATCGCTCTTTCTACTTCCTTTCTCGTGTGTAATCTCGTTGTAAATATGGAAACGAGATTTACACGTGATTGACACGTCATTCTATGGAATTTCCCCGTCTTTTTGGCGCGAAAATCGCGGGTATGTCACCTGTTTTCGCGACAGGTATTTTTCTCGCTTGAATCGTAAATCAAGCGTAATGGCGGCCAACTACGATTCGGATAGCGATCAGATGATTAACAACGACTATATCGGGAATAATAATGTGTTTGAATTGAATAATTTACGCGAAGGGGAGAGGGAATTTCGCGAATATTTTCGTGAAGATTTTGACGGTTTCGACGAGGTGTCCCCCCCGCCAACTTTCGAGAATGGGAGTGGCAGAGGGACCACAATAGTGGAGACATGAGGGATTTTGAAGAGGCGACCGGACTCAAGAATATATATTGACACGGTGAGTGAAGAGTCGTGCTATTGATTTTTTCCAACTGTTTTACAATGATTATGTGTTTGAACAGATTATCAGTGCGACGAATGAGAATCCAGCTACCGACACGTGATTGAGCGATCACAACAACAACAAAGGTGAGTGGCATGACGTATCTGTTTCTTTTTTTTTTTAATTTATTTTTCTGATCGCAATCCGAATTGTAGTTTGCCGGTTTGTCGTATGTCCTTATATTTAGCTCAATTTGAATAAAATTAATTTCCATATTCATGTTTGTTTTCTTGTTTTTTACATCTTAATTTAAATTTGAGTAACTGTAATGATTATTTATTTATTAATTGATTTAATAAAGTACTGATTTAATTTATTATGCAATTGTAAATAGCAGTGTATTGTAAATATGTTATCACAACTTGTATATTTGCAGAACTTGAATTTACGATCTTTCCGTCCTTTTACAATCTTTCCCTCTTCAGATCAATCTGTGTTATCTTCCCTGTGATGTCATTCTTATAGTAGCTGTGGTTCAATGTTCAGATAATGTGATAAATAACTTTTTAAAAACTTAAATACTTAATTTTTGTTTCAAATCCTGAAAAAGAACAAAATAAATCAAATATTTGTGTTTTTACCTGTGTTAACGAGTTTACCTGCGTTAACAAGTTTACCTGTGTTAACGAGTTTACCTAAGAGGCTGTAAGTGTATCATAAGTAATATGTGACATCAGTATAGAAAACAAAGTCAGTACCAAGAGTTGTAAACTTGTTTATTTGTTTACAGATTTGCATGAAGAGAATTTACCTGTAACACCTGGGATTACCTGTGCCGTCCAAGATGACGAGACCACTGTGTTATGTTTACCTTGTATCTGTGATTTATTTTTGTGATTTGTAATACAATTTGAGCCAAAATTCATTGTCTGTTTTCATTTTTTCAGTGTTTTCAAGTTTTATTTCACTTGTAAACACCTGTAATTAGAAAATAACAAAGGTTAGAGACAATAACAACAAAGAATATTAAAGTATACTTAATCCTCTTTACAATGGTGTATGATAAATGTATATTAAAAGCAAGTTTCTGGTAGAAAAAGTGCATCAAAATTGATAGGGTGATTTTCCAATAATACTGCCAGGGAGGCCAGTGTACAGGCCTTGTCAGTGTCAGGGACTGCAGGGTCTCAAGGGACATAACTCTGGGGCAGCCAGTGATGAAAGAGTTAAGCATGTCATACTGTGAGGGTGATGGCACAGAGGTCACATTAAGGACATGTCATACTGGAAGAATGATGACACAAAAGTCACATTTTACACATAATGTGACACTGGGCGTGTGATGACACAAAGGTCACATTTAACACATAATGTGACACTGGGAGTGTGATGACACAAAGGTCACATTAAGCATGTTATACTGTGAGTGTGATGGCACAAAGGTCACATTTTACACATAATGTGACACTGGGAGTGTGATGACACAAAGTTCACATTAAGCATGTCATACTGTGAGTGTGATGGCACAAAGGTCACATTAAGGACATGTCATACTGGAAGAGTGATGACACAAAAGTTACATTTTACACATAATGTGACACTGGGCGTGTGATGACTCAAAGGTCACATTAAGCACATGTAATCCTGTGAGTGTGATGACACAGAGGTCACATTTTACACATAATGTGACACTGGGCGTGTGATGACACAAAGGTCACATTAAGCACATGTAATAGTGTGAGTGTGATGACACAAAGGTCACATTTTACACATAATGTGACACTGGGCGTGTGATGACACAAAGGTCACATTTAACACATAATGTGACACAAAGGTCACATTAAGCATGTCATACTGTGAGGGTGATGGCACAAAGGTCACATTAAGGACATGTCATACTGGAAGAAGGATGACACAAAAGGTCACATTTTACACATAATGTGACACTGGGAGTGTGATGACTCAAAGGTCACATTTAACACATAATGTGACACTGGGAGTGTGATGACTCAAAGGTCACATTTAACACATAATGTGACACTGGGAGTGTGATGACTCAAAGGTCACATTTTACACATAATGTGACACTGGGAGTGTGATGACTCAAAGGTCACATTTTACACATAATGTGACACTGGGAGTGTGATGACTCAAAGGTCACATTTTACACATAATGTGATACTGGGAGTGTGATGACTCAAAGGTCACATTAAGCACATGTAATACTGGAAGAGTGATGACACAAAGGTCACATTTTACACATAATGTGATACTGGAAGAGTGATGACACAAAGGTCACATTTTATACATAATGTGATACTAGGAGGGTGATGACACAAAGGTCACATTAAGCACATGTAATACTGGAAGAGTGGTGACACAAAGGTCACATTTTACACATAATGTGATGCTGGGAGTGTGATGACACAAAGGTCACATTTTACACATAATGTGACACTGGGAGTTTGATGACACAAAGGTCACATTTTACACATAATGTGATACCGGGATTGTGATGACACAAAGGTCACATTTTACACATAATGTGATACCGGGATTGTGATGACACAATGGTCACATTAAGGACATGTCATACTGTGAGTGTGATGGCACAAATGTTGCATTATGGACATAATGTGATACCGGAAGTGTGATGAC